AGTGACATTTATATGCCCTGCTAAATATATAACATGATCATAAAAAATATTTTTTATATACACTTATTTGCATATTTTATTTACATGTAAATAAAATATATTTCTATATAAATAACGTGAATATGAAAATAAGATAGCTATTCATGTTAATATAAAAAATACATTTCTATATCAAACTATATGTTACTCTAATAATATAATACATATGTACTATGAAGATTTATATACAAATTGTTATTCGAATATAAAAATAACATAATATTTTTCGCGTTATTTGAATCTATATGAACGATTAAAACCAATAAGTTTAATGTTTTGATAAAAATAACAAAGGTATTTTCGAGTCATTTAGTTATAATGTTACGATGATACATTTACGTGATGATTTATGTGTTCAACATGCATATATATAGAAACAAATAATAAAATAATTTTTCTAGGTTGATTTGCCAATGGCATGACATGTAATTATTCTAGGCCAAAGAGGGTTATTTAAAAAGGGCTGTGAGGTGGAATATGGTGTTGACACGTAAGAAATGGCAAAGTTGTGAATCACACATGAAATAAAGGTTTGTTTATAAAAGTTCTCCTCAAATAATAAGAAGGGGATTTCTTAACTTTCTTATGCTTTTTCTTATTAGATTATCTTCTTACATTAAGATCTCTTGATATAGGTAATAGAAACCTTTAACTTATTCTATTACATAATGATCTAGGAATCTTAACTTTATCCTAATCCTATTACAGTTTAGTTATCTAAGTTTTCTTTTTGAATAACTAGTTTATGAAGTAATGTTTATCATAAAAATTATACTCTTATTATCCAATAAACATTTATGAGAAAATCATTTAGAAAATCATTTACGAGATGCTAATATTCTCCAAATGCTACTTTCTCAAAGGTCTCACATGGAGCTTTTGGAAGATCATTTGTAGTTAGAAAATAAAAAAAATTAGAAATAATTATACATAATTCCTTTTCAATAAAATTTTAATTAAATAATTTTAATTTAAAAGTAGTAATTCACATTTTAAATATAATAAAATTTATGTAGTTAGACATATCAATCATTATTTTTTATAACAAACCTAAATTTGATATAATTATATATTATAGATATAAACATATTTATATTATTTACAAATAAATAGATTAATAATTTAATGCTCTACCAATAATCAAATAATAATAATTTATATAAAAATTATATATAATTAATTTATTTTATGTAATAATATTAAAATTATGTTTATATGCAAAAATAATTTTATATTTTTAAAAATATTAATATTTCACATTTCAAATATAAAACTATTTTATGTAAATGAAGAAGATTCATTATTTTATTAAAATAAATATTATATACTAAATTTTATGATAATTATAAAATTATATACTACTACTATTCTATCAATCACTTTATCAAAAAAATTAGTAAGCGGATATAGCTTCTGCATTATACTGCTTCTACAACATACTGCTACTATTTTATTATCAGATGTACTAATCGAGGCCAAAAATATTTACATGCCTGTTGACTTTTGATTCTTTCTACCTTGGTCGAACGGTTCAGTTTGTGGTTGCTCGCCGCCTCCATTTCTGGGATTCTCGAAACATAAAAATGGTTAATTTATGAGAAAGAGAAGAACACTGGTATTTAACAAGATTGCATAATAAACTCATTTACTCCGTTAAGTAATAATGAATCATGTTCATAATACCTCCTGCATTACGCTTAATATATACTATATCTAAATGGAGAAACCATTCATCTCTGATTCTCTCATTTATTCTTTTTCCAGTCAAATATTATCACATCTTCTAACTTCATCTTGTGCTTCGGTTCCTAAAGTCATTGCATGCCTCTCAACTTTTGACTCTCTTTACTTTTGTCGAACTGTTCAGTTTATGGTTGTTTACCATCTCCGTTTATGGGATTCTCATAATATAAAAAATGGCAAATTTATGAGAATTAGAGAAGATTGAGAAAAACCTTTGACATTTAATAAGACTGCATAATGTTTTTGGATATATAGAACTTTTGAAAACTTTATTGACTAGTACCAAAGACTTGACACGCTATATTGGTCCAGCTTATATGTCAAATATCAAAAGATATAATAAAATTATAGAGGTTTGTGAGTCCAATCCACCTACACCGACACTCTTTATTATTCCATCTATTTTCCAAAAGCCAGACGCCTCCTTTGAAAATGTCTTCCTCCGATGTTGTTGCAGCCCAATCAGATATCACTCAACCTTTGATGCTCTCCGACTTGGTAGGACTTCCCGATACATTGTTATTTGGATTCACTTTCCATCATCGATTTAAATTTGGTTATCAATCGTCAAGCTCTTTATAAAATTTTCAGATGTTGTTGACCAAATTTGGTATGTGCAAGGATCTTATCTTTTTGCAACGACAAGGCTTGTGTTCGTCTTCTGATTGAGCCGTAAGCCAAAAACCACGTATAAATTTCCTAATAGTTTTCTCATTTTCATATTTTTGCTAATAAATATTACAATCTCATATAACATGACGGTGTTGGTGTACTTGTCGATGTTACAGCAATGTTTTGGGTAATAAAAGGTGATAAAACTCAGTCTGCAATGGTGGTTACAACTGTGAATCCAATAATATTCGGAAGTATGGTCATTTATTAAGGATTATAAAACATTTTTACTGTGGGTTCTTTCCATACAGATGGTTTCTCTTTTATTTTACTTAATACCATAGTCTATGAAACAATCTTTAATCCTCAAGTAATATTTATTTGCACTCAACACCTGCAACCAAAATTTATTTTAACACCAATCTTCCTACCATCAGAGAGTTTACAGCCAGGTTACAACTCATTATGTATAGCGCTAAGACTCAGATTTAAATTTCTGCCAATATTTTGCATAATACCTGCTGTTTGCAGCTTGGGAGGTGCAGCGGGAGAGAACTAAATGCTAGCAGTTAGCCGCTCATGTTTACACTGTAGTTTTGATTATCTTTGTCACTTGAAATAACATTTGTTTATCGTAATTACGTTGACTTTCTGAAGACATGGGAAGCTGATTTCATTTGCAAAGCTCGGATTGTGAGGTTCTCCAAGAGAATATGGTCGTTCGTTTCTAGCACCGGATGCAGCAGAAGTTGGATAAATCTGGCACTTCTCTTCGTTGCAATAGATGAGTTTCTCCCAACGTTACATGTGTTATTAGGCGTGCAGTTTACATTCTCACACATATGACAAACAAAGGTGAAAAAGCAGCTGCATCTGCCAGCATCACTGTTGTAGCAAGAGATGATGAACCAAATTCTGTTGGTTTTGAAGCAGAAGAGAACATCCGCTAATGCACGCGTGAATGATAGTTTCAGTGCGTCTGTTTTGAATTTCCGGATTTGTTATGATTTTGAATCCATTATATATATGATTTTCAACTATGGTTTTTCTCTTTAATTTCCGGCAAACTTCCTCCTACAAAGAGGACAATTACTAAGTTTTTATTTATAAAAAGGCAGTGTTAACTGCATTTTGCATATTGATAATGTCCACAACTAAATGCATTAATCACTACAAGTTACATGGTGACATGCATTCCTAAAGAAACATAACTCATATAAACATTGCATAAATGTCCGCTCTGTAGCCATGCACTCAGGCTGAGAGCATAAAGCTCTTGATTTTGTTTCCTTTCTATTTAAAAAAGAATCTTCGATGTTCAGATGAAAACAAATACAAAAAAGTAAATATTCATAGACTACGGTTAAAAAAAATTTAATACCATAATAAAGTTATATACACATAGATACCCAAGTCCAACAAAACAAATAAAAAATAAAACATTAAATAATCCATCGCTATATCAACAAATATTCACTTACAAAACCTGACCACAAGCCTTTATGAATTAATAAATAAGCAAAACCACTTCACAATCTCAAAAAGAACTTCTCCAACACATGAGTCACTCCTTCATGCATAAAAACAACACAACACTAACAACAATAACCCCGCGCGTACGCGGGGTGGACGATTCCTAATTTAATCAATTACACAGTAATTTACATATATTAATTGGTCACATAATATCCAGTAAGTATAAAGTTACATTGAAATATAAAAACAATCTATATATTGAAACAAAAATACTTTTCAACCATTACATTATGAAACAAAGAGAATATTCAAATTATATTATATTGAAACCTTAAAATAGTAAGAACAAATCGTTGATCTGAATATTATGAATGCAAAACCAAACCAAACTTAAGAACAAATTTTTAAACAAACCTATCACTAAAACTTGATTAGACATAGAATGTCTAGTCTTCAAAACAAATTTGGTTTCTAGAACATGAATAACAAACTCCAAACAAAGATAGAGAATGAATGACATACTTTTCTCTCAAGGACCAAGGCTGAATGGAAGTTGGTACCGTACTCTACTTACATACTTTAACTTTACCAATCCCATCACCAAAAAATTGTTCTGCAACCTATTTGGATCAATGGTATCACTTGCTTTGATTAACTTTTTCCCCTTCCATTAACTCTGTACAAGAACAAACAACAAAGCTTTTGAATAAGAACACCGATGAATGGAAGTACTTACGATGACAAGTCATAGAGGTGAAAATAATTTTCCTTGCATGAGCATAACAAAATCGGCTTGGCCTCTGCATCATGCACGCCACAGAAAGTTAACACCACATGAACAAAAAGCAACCTGAGATCAGTCATGAATCAACACATCAACAATGTAGTTATTTATGTTCCTTTGTGGAGTGCAGTCTTCAACCAATCTTACAGCCGCACAAAATAATCTTTATTTGTGAGAATCAAACACTGATTGAGAGAAAAGAAGCAATCTTGGTCAAATTGAAAATCACATATGATGCAAAACACTAACCAACCAGTGTGGCCTAATAATACACAATAAGAATGGCAAAATTGAGAAGGGACATGTGTCTTCTTGTGTCAAATTAACAATTCCTTCGACATCGGAGTTATCCTTGAGCACAACAACGGCTTTCTTCGCGGCGGAAACGACTATTAGCGATTTCTTCGACGCATAGAAGGAAACAGATTGTGGATGGTGAAGGCTGAGAGAGATGCCACTGAATGAGGAACGGATAGTTGATGAAGGAGAAATGAGGAGGCGCGGGGGATGAGAAGGAGAAGATGGTGTGAGCAGCCATGGCGCTTGAAAGAAACAATTGGGCAATTAAGGATGGAGCTTTTTTTCTTACAGAGATGGAGTAGTTGTGGAGGGCAATCGTTACACCTGAAAATCAAAACGGCATGTAGTTTCGCAGTTGAGAATGAGGATACAGAAGAGCCGACTCGGTGTAAAAGAGCCAAGGATAACTTTGATGGGTTTAAGATAGGCCTCAGAAAATTGATCGGAGCCCAAATGATTGACCCAGTTAAAAAATGATTGACAAAACAAAGATGACATGGCAAAATATAGTTTCTCATTTGTTGATTTTTTATGCCTACATGGACATCCTTTTTAATGTTCTTATTCTCCTTTTATTTATTGTATTGTATGATAATTGTCTCACCAGCATCAAAATCAATAGACTCCTCCTTCATCATTTTGTTTGGACAATATTTTACCAATTTTTATGCATCCCAGAATAATTTATCAGAGTATTAATTTGTTTCAATGTGTTTTATTAATTAGTTTTTAAATTTAATTTAATATGTTATCAATGTAAAATTTATGTGAAATTTTAATAATTAAATTAATAACTTTAGTTCTCAATATAAAATTATCATTCATTAAATAAAAAGTCTAGCTTTCAAATATATAATAATATTTTTATTTATTTTACTTACAACTAGAAAAATTAAGCATTATATGTAAAAAATAACGTTCTTCTATAGTAGATGAATGTTTTTTTATTTACAACTAGGATAGACCCGCCCTACGGGCGGGATTTGATAGATCAGTTTTAATAAAATGTATAATTTTATGTAAATTTCATTTTATGTTAGATTGAATGTGAATATGATTTTATAGTCCACAACAAATTTCAACTATATAACTAAAATTTTTGATTCTTAGTATTTTACTCTTGTAATCGTAAATTGTAAAGTTTTATAGTGTTTTAAGTTTTATAACTCTATAAAATATATAAATCAATCAGATTTGGTCAAAAGAAGATGAGATCTATATTTCCAATACCATTATATCCTTTTTGTGAGGATTCTTTGTCAAAACTATTGTAGTTGTTTTATAGAATGTTAATAATTCATATCCTCAACAATTGAGGTTGATTTCGATAACTTTTTTGATAAATTATGATGTGTTTTATTTATTTAAAATAAGAAATTATATGTAAATTAAATATTTATTTAAAATCAATTTATATATACTAAAAAATACTAAAATACATGAATATAGATAATAATATTGATTAACAAAATCATATATAAATTTTTTAAAATTTTAAAGTTGTAAGTATATTTGCAAATAAAAACTATAAATTTTATCATCTGATAAATTATGATCAAGTCACGTGTCGCATTCTGATGAACCTATTTACTGACGTGGTAGTCTCAGTATTGAGAAAAATATTTACAAAATAATCAAGTTATTTTAGAAAATAATACAAAATATTTTAAATTTCTATACATGTTTAGAAATGTTTAGTTTACCTTCAATCAAAGTGAATATTTGTTTCTAGTGGTGCAAGACATTATTTTATTTTTATTTGAGTTTAATCAAAGTGACTACTTTGGTTAGTGTGATGCACTATGAAAAAAGTTATATAGCAAAATTGATTTACGCTGTAGTATATAATATTGGCCAACTTAATATGCATATTTAGAGTTGTTTAGTTGAGATAGGATATTCATAAATAAACCATCTGTTGTAGGTTATTATACAAAAGAACTGACTACAGCGCCATGTGGTTATCATTTGTCACTCATGCCCAGAAATAAAACAAATAGCTGTACATATAAAAGAATACATAGAATTTATGAGGATGGGAACGAAGGACAACACCAGAATCAGACGTATATCAAGAGATAATACATACATCATTCATCATTTGAGCTTGTCTCTTAAGATCTTCACTGAAAGGAGAGGTATTGGCCCCAAAAGCTTAACATATCTTAAGAATTTTATTTCTCGCTCGTTCCCCAAATAGGATAACAAATACATGTTTTTCTGTCAGGAGTATTAGTTTAGATCAGAAGGAGAGCTCCAGTAAAGGAAAACAGTATAAACAAAACAAAATAAAACAATTGAGGCATAACCAATGTCAAATATAACATATGCAGATGGGAACGTATAAAATACATATAAAATTTAGACTCTAACTTGCATGAGCCTATGGAAGAACAAAGTATATACATTAAGAAAGCAGCCAAACTCCTGCAATATAAAAAAGCTGCACTTTTAATGTCTAAGAAGCTAAGAGTAGAAAATAAGAAGTTAACCTTCTCCCCAGAGTTGAGATCAACCAACGAACTCAGACTGTCGTATTAAGATGTTGCGACAGTTAGGAATCCAAGCTTTACTTGCTTTGTGTGATTAATAAACTTCTCATGTTACAAAGGACAGCTTGTAAGGGTATTAGCGCCTAGCGGAGAACACAACTTGGAAAAGTAAAACAGTTGCAGATTTCGTACTTCCTTCAGCAAAAGAGCCTTGAGGGGCGTCTATGGACTGAAGGAGAAAGATCACCATCCTAGAAAACTCACAGCAGACACATGAATGCCTGAGATACATATACATATCCAACGCT